AGACTATGATAAAATGGATGCTGATATTAATAAATGTAATTTTATTTTTTAATTTTTTTTTTTTTTATTATTCCTAGGAGAGAGAGAGAGACAGCATGAGCAGGGGAGGGTCAGAGAGAGAGGGAGTCACAGACTGAAACAGGCTCCAGGCTCTGAGCTGGCAGTCAGCACAGAGCCCGACGTGGGGCTCGAACCCACGAACCGCGAGATCACGACCTAAGCGAAAGTCGGACGCTTAACTGACTAAGCCACCCAGGCGCCCCAATAAATGTAATTTTAACTTAAAACTTAAAAAATTTTTTAAGTTTATTTATTTTGAGAGTGTGTGAGAGCAAGGGAGAGGCAGAGAGAGAGAGAAAGCGAGCGAGAATCCCAAACAGGCTCCACGCCATCTGATGTGAGCCTGATCCCATGAACCAGGAGATCATGACATGAGCTGAAGTCCAGAGTCAGACGCTTAACCGACTGAGCCACCTAGGTACCCCAATAAATGTAATTTAAAAAATATGTATACTGAAATGTGTTAGCATTTGGCAGATATGCATATAAAAATTTACTCAAAATGTATCAAAGACCTAAATGTAAGACCTAAAACTATAAAACTCTTAGAAGAAAACACAGGGAAAACCTTCATGACATTTAGCTATACTTTCTCGGAATGACACCAAAAGCATAGGCAAAAAAAGAAAAAGTAGATAAACTGGACTATATTAAATAAAATTAGTTTTATGCACCAACAAACAGTATCAAAAGAATGAAAAGGCAACACATGGAATGGGAGAAAATATTTGTAAATCATATGTTTCATAAGCGGTTAATATCCACAGTAAATAAATCCTACCACTCAACAACAAAAAAGCAAACTGACTGAGAAAATGGGCAAAGTACTTGAATAGATATTTCTCCAAAGAAGATAAACAAATAGTTAATAAGCATATGAATAGATGTTCAATATCATAATCATTAGGGAAATGCAAATTAAATCAATGAGATGCCATTTCACACCTATTAGAGTGGCTATTATCAAAAACCAGATAGTAGTGTTGACAAGGATACAGAGAAATTGGAACTCTTGTCCACTGCTGATGGGAATGTAAAATGGTGTGTCTGACATGGAAAACCCAAGTACCTACTGATGGATAAATAAATAAACTAAATGTGGTACATATATGTAAAAGAATATTATTCAGTCTTAAAAAGGGAAGAAATTCTGATATATGCTAACATATGGATGAATCTTGAGGATATAATGATACATGAAATAAACCAGTCACAAAATAACAGACACTAGATGATTCTACTTATGAGGTATGCAGAGGAGTCAAATTCACAAGCACAGAAAGTAAATGGTGGTTGCCAGGGGCTAATGGGAAAGGCTAATGAAGAGTTCTTTTCAACAGATACAGAGTTTCAGTTTTGAAAGATGAAAAAGTTCTGGAAATAGACAGCTATGATACTTGCACAACACTGTGACTGTACTTAATACCAATGAACTATATATACTTAAAAATGGTAAAATAGTAAATGTCATGTCTTAACACACTGTTAAAAAACCCACTATCAGGACAAAATTGCTAAACAACCCTCCACCCCCATTCTCATCCCATATGCTCCTTAAGAAGAGTAATTGATTCCTCCATTTATTAATATTATGTGCTCAGGCATGGTTTAAAGTTCTTAGGACACACCAGTGAATACAAAGATTCAAATTCCCTGGGGCTTAAAATCTAATGGCAGGAGGAGGAGAAAGACTAAGAAAAACAAAGTCATTCATTTAGTGTGCTAGAAAGTGGTAAGCCATAACGAAAAAAGAAAAAGTAGAGAATAGTAAGAGAGGAATGCTAGGCTAGGTTCAGAACTCTTAAATGTTAAATAGGGCCAGAGTATGCCCCACTTGACAAGGGGACATTTCAGCAAAGATAAAGGTAATGTAGCTAATCCCGTGGAAATATGGACAAAGATCATCCCAGAAATGGGGACCAGCTAAGGGCCTAAGAACTGGCCTGTTTGAGCAATAGCAAGAAGGCCAGTGTGATTGGAGCAGAGTGATTAAAAGGAATAATGGTAAGGGATATTTTTAGAAAGGTATAGGCCATTGTAAATCTTTTGCTGGATATAATCTAAAGGTACAGCTGTCAGATCTCTTGGCAGATATGGATAGCATAAGAGAGAAAGAACCAAGGATAACTCTAAGGTTTTAGGTCTCAGCAACAGTAAAGATGAAATTACCATGAACTGAGATGGAGCAAGTTGCAAAAGAAGCAGGTTGGGAGACATGTCAGTGGTAGACATGTGTGTTAGTATATCTATCAGATATTCAAGTAGAGATATCAGTAGATAGTTAGATATATGAGTTTAGAATTCAGGAAAAAAGATGTGGCTAGAGATCTAAATGAGCATATATATAGTATGTGAAGCCATGAAATCAGATAATAAAGTCCCCAAGGGAATACAGATAAAGAAAAAAAGAGGTCCAAAGTCTAAGACCTAGAGTAATAAAACAAAAAGAAGTTAGAGAAGAGAGGAAGAATCAGCAAAGGAGACAGAAGGAATGACCCAAGAGGTCAATAGGACACCAGAGACCTCATTTGAATGTGGGTCCATCCATTACTCTTCTTTAACCTTGTGAAACAGTTTGATCTCTCCATGTTTTGATTTTCCTTGTCTGTACAATAAACATAACACCAATTACCTCATGTAGTTGCTGTGAGATTTAAATGAGACGAAGTATCGGAAAATGGCTAACACATCTCGTACTCAGACTGTGCAAGAGTGCAATAAATAGTATCTACTATTACGTAGTAGATAGTATAAATCGTATCTATTATGGTAGTTCCCTCCCAGGCTATTATAGGCCTTTATTCTAACACTTTATCAAAAATTAGTTAGGAATTAGAAACAAAGGCAATAGACACCCACAGTAAGCTTGCAATCTACTACATCAGCCTTAACATGACGGGTCTTCTATCTGTAAATAAGCTTTATCAAAACATTTGTTTTTCCTTGAACATGCCTGTAGATCCTGCCTCCATTCCTTGCTCATGTTGCTCTCTGCTTCATATACTCTCTTTCCATATATACTCAACTAACATTCTAGCCCTTTCTTTCATGGCATACCACAAAACCGCCTTCTGCTTTGAAATCATTCATGATTTACCCTGAATGCAGGTGACCTCCCTTTCTTTTTACTTTTTACAGCTTTAATGAACTTCCATGGTACTTACCATTTCAATCAAGAGTTAATTACAGTTGACCCTTGAAGTGTGTGGTATATATACAAATGTTTCTCAATAAATGCAATATACTATTATCAATGTATTTTTCTTATGATTTTCTCAATAACACTTTCTTTGATCTAGCTTAATTTACTGTTAAGGACACATATAACATACAAAATATTTGTTAATTGACTGTTTATGGTGGTAAGGCTGCTAGTCAAGAGTAGGCTATCAGTAAAGGTTTTGGGAAGTCAAAAGTTATATGAGGATTTGCAACTGCGTGGGAGGGAGGTCAGTGTCCCCAACCCCCATATTGTTCAAGGGTCAGCTGTATAAATATATTAACCTTTCATTTTATTTTCTCAGATCTTCCTTTCTAATCATATAATATTCCTTAATAACATATTAATTCATCAAGTGCATGTATTTTAAAAAGATACTAATTTAACCACCGTTACGACAATAAGCCTTTTAGAAATCTTATTTGCTCTTATTATAAGCTTTGGCTTAAATCAACACCCAGCACTACATTAAATCTTTTTTTTCTACAGATCTGCCTATTAAATTTCTTTTTCTTACTCATGTTGGAAGTTAAATTCCAACCTGAAAACAACACACACTGCTAAATCTCATCTTGTTATAATCTGTACAAGAAATCCAAATTGTGAAGGCATTTCTACTAATTTTTCTCTATGCGCATAATCCTCAACTTGTCATTTCAACAAATTTGTGTACTCAATAATGCACCCTATTTTAATCTGGAAAAAATAAGGAAATCTATTTCAGCATGATATTTGAGGAATTTACATGTTTGCGTCCACTTCCCTCTAATTCCCTACTCTCCTACACAACAGATGGTCTGTTTTACTTTTTAATGAATAGTGAGAAAGAAGCAGAGTTAGTTGCAGAAGCTTTTAGACAAACCAGACATTTGGTTTAAATCTTGGCTTTACCTGGTTCAAATCTAATAAGCTATACAATCTTGATCAAGTTACTTAAAGCTCTGATCCTCAGTTTTCTGATCTTTAAAATGGAAATATTACTTAAAAGGACAAATGGAAAATTAGATACCACAAATATGGCATGTAGTCTGGATGCTAGAATAACATTTAGCTTTTGTATTACTAAAAGAATCTATACATCATTTGTAAAGCTATTACCATTACCTACTGGAAGCAACTAATTTTTAAATTTAGGCCAAGATCCATAAGAGTCCTTACTGACTTAGAAAATGCCAAACAACACTGCCTTTTACAAAGAAAAAAAAAATTTATTGGTTTTACTGGCTAGAGTACATATTCTAGTAAGATTTTTTTTCAATAAAGTATAGCTGACACACAATGTTACATGAGTTTCAGGTGTACAACACAGTGATTTGACAAATTTGTATGTCATGCTCTGCTCACCATGAGTGTAGCTACCATCTATCACCACATAACACTATTGTAATAGCACTGACTATATTTCCCATGCTGTACCTTTTATTCCTATGACTTATTCATTCCATAACTGGAAGCCTGTATCTCCCACTCCCCTCTAGTAAGATCTTTAACATGAATAATAAATGAGATAAATGAATGATAAGAAAAGTAGAAAGTGATATGCCAACACTTACCATTATTATTGGTAGATTACAACTGGCTCTAACTATGCAGTAATTTTATTTGATTAAATTTAATTTTAAGGAAGTACATGGGCAAATATATTTGGAAACCAAAAAAAGAAGCTTAAGGAAAAGGGTAATATCTACTGTTCAAACAAACTGATCAATTATTTCCTTACCTGAATCACTTGCTGCAACAACAACTGTTCCACCAGGAGCAAAAGGATCATTGTGCTTCAATGTCTCTACCTAAACACATGACACAAAATCATGACTATGGGAAGCAATGTTTCATAGCTGAAACCTCAATGCCATACCAAAGAAAATATTCTTTAAAAACTCTAAATTAATTAAGAAATACAAGGCATTAGGAATAAATGTTTCCCCTTACTGATTTGTAATCTAAACTGAAATGACACACATCATTTTCTAATCTTCTTTTATTATATAATACAATATCCATTCAAAGTTGTATATGAAACATGCATGGCTTGACAAATAAGTATCAGATGAACACCTATGTAATCACCTTCCAAGAAACTGCTAACACCTCAGAAGTCTTATGTGCTCCTCTCCAATCACAATCCCATCCTTCCTCGGTAGAGGTAATTATCCTGACTTTGGTGGCATTCATCTCTTTTCTTTTCTTCATAATTCTGCCACTAGTACAGATGCACACTATTATAACTTTTTATTTTTAAGTAATTTTAGATTTCTAGAACACATATAAAGGTAATAGAGAGAGTTCCCATATATCTTTCACTCAGCTTTCTCTAATATTAATATCTCATATAATCATGGTACATTTATTAAAACTAAGGAATTAACACTGATACAAAACTATAAAGTATGGATTTTATTTGGACTTCACAAGTTTTACCACGAAGGTCCTTCTTCTATTCCAGGATGACATGTTGCATTTAGGATGCATACTATTCTAACTCTTAAATATCCTAGTACTTAATATCAGCAAATACTAGATTTCTATTTTCTAATTGTTGTCTAAAAATAACTCCAGCATTCTTCCCATCAGAGGAATGTACACATGTGCTCCAGAGGAAAAAGGGGGGCAGGGGGGGAGAAGGAGGGAGAAAGAGACAGAGGGAGGGAGGGATCCTGCTACTTTCAATAAGTCAGGTAAGAATCTGGACCAAGTGGCAAGGGTGAGTAGCTACAGAATGGAGACTTTACCAGAAGCCAGAGATTTTTGCTATAGAACTGTTTCTGAACTTATTTTAGTTTTCAATCATAATCAAAGTATGTATTTAGGAAGAATTGACTGAACTTTATCTTTCTGGCATCAGGTTCTTGTTAAGAGGCTAAAAAAAAAAAAAAAGACTTAGCAGACAGTTAGATGAAAGGGGCATGAAAAGGGTTTGGGAACATTTGTCTTTTCTGACTCATGGCTATTCATGTCATCTGTATTACAGGCTCTACTTCTAATCATCAAGAAATTGGTTATTATAATTGAATGTCAAAGGATATTGCAGAGCTCAATTGATACATTTCCAAATAAAGCAGATATATTTGAAAAGAGAAAAGTATTGTTAACCAGGACTTGTACATTCTCTCTTTTATTATAAAAGAGAACCCATTCAAACTATTAAAAAGAAGTAATTAATACTAATGAAGCTTTTAGAACTGAAGATGATAGTACTTATTTTAACTGATGCCAATAACAGTATTAAAAAACTATCACAATAGCTTATGATTATATCTACTGAATAAATAAAGAGCATTCAAAGGGGCACCTAGGTGACTCAGTTGGTTCAAGTGTCCAACTCCTGATTTCAGCTCAGGTCATGATCTCACTGTGTGTAGATTGAGCCCTGTATCAGGCTCTGTGCTGACCACACAGAACTGGCTTGGGATTCCCTCTCCCTCTCCAGGTTCATCTCTCTCTCCCTCTCCCTCTTTCTCTCTAAAAATAAATAAACATTAAAAAAATAAAAGAGGAATCAAAGTAAAATACTAAGCTGGTCTGTAAAGCCAAGTAACTTTGCATGGTTCCGAATATTAATAGTCAAAATACCAGTGTGAGAAGCAGTCACGGACATAACCTAAGTCACCAACTATTATTGCTTCTTCTCTTGACTTTCAGAGAAGCAAACGCTAACAGGTCTGATTTTTAACAAAAGCTTACAGATTTATTTGCCATCAGAGAGAGAAATAGATAAAGCAGGCCTACATGAGCGTCAGGTTTAATTTCTATTACTTCACCACACTGTGCCACCACCTAAAAGACCACTGAGAAAGCAAGAGGAAGAGGAGGGACTGTGTAGCCCATGAAGGAATAAGAGGCCACTAAATGTCATGTTCAGTTTGATAATTATGCAACTTACTACACAAAAGTAATTTTCATAACTAAAATTCAGACGGCATGATTTTATAGATTTCAAAATTATCATTGAAATTCTCTCTCTTAAACATCACTCATCTACCCCTCCACTCTGACTATATGATTTAGTACCTACACAATGCTACCATACACCACCTAGGACAGTAGGAAATGGCAACTATTTGGTTTGTTTTGGTTTTTAAAACTATGTCCCTCTGAGAGCAGAGACTAGCCTTGAGGGAATAGGAGAGACTTTTGGGGACAGATTCAGACCTGGAAACATAATAGAGGCTTGTCTGAAAAGAAGGAAGATCACAAAACACAAGGGCATTGTAGCTGGGAAGAATAAAGTTTAAATCTTAGACTATCATGGTGAAGACCTTAGATTTTGGTCAGACAGACCAAGGTCTGAATTCAGTTCTATCACTTACTAACTTCCTATCACTTAACCTCTTCAAGCCTCACTTACTGTATCTTAGAAATGAATCTAGAGGCACCTGGCTGGCTCAGTTAATTAAGCATCCAACTTCAGCTCAGGTCATAATCTCACAGTTTGTGACTTCAAGCCCCACAGTGGGCTCTGTGCTGACAGCTGAGAGCCTGGAGCCTGTTTCAGATTCTGGGTCTCCCTCTCTCTCTGCCTCTCCCCTGCTTGTGCTCTGTCTCTCTCCCTCTCAAAAATAAACATTAAAAAATAAAAAAAGAAAGAGAGAAATGAGTGTGGTAACCTGAGCTTCATGGGATTACTGTTAAGCTGAAATGAAGTAACATAAGAAAAGAGCTTAGCATCACACCTGGCACAGAGAAGAGATGAGACAAACATAGCTATTAATATATTGCCAGTTTGGTTTTTTGTTTTGTTTTTAATGGAGAAATCAGGAGCAGTCAGCAAGGGCAATGTAACTTTCAAACACTGGGGAGGAAAGAGAAAAGGTAAATAGAACAAAGAGTGGAAAAATTTTACCAGGCAGGAGGAACAGGAGAAGCTTGTTTTATTTTTAAGTTAGGAAGGGCTGCTTTGGCTTTCTTGTTCTTAAATGATAAGAGTGGAGAATAAGAGACTAGAATAAGGTAAGAGGAAAAAAATTCAGGTTGCAGCCAATTTTAGAAGAATTTGGCAAATGGGTCCACATTGCAAACCAAGTGTTATAGGAAAACACAGTATCCAGTAGCCTGTGGAAACCACAAATATTCAGTTACGGAGCCACTTGCTCAGTTTTACATCAATGGAAAATACCAGCTGTTGGCCAAATAGCTCTTTACTCAGTACAGAAAGAAAACAAAGACTATCAAAATCTATTGACTTTAAAAGAATCAATTACTCTTTTTAAGGGAGTATTCTTAATCTAAGGGAATTAAAAAAAACACAAGTTTTCTTTCAAATGCCTGTCAATCAAATTGTTCCTTTTTGGGTCAGTTTTACTTTTGGATATGAAGTATCCTGCTTAAAAAAATAAGCCTCCAAGTAAAAACTAAAAACAAAAACAAAATCCAAAACCATTCATAATTACTGAATCTGGGAGATGGATACATAGAGGTTTTTTAAAATATTTCATTATATTACTCTATTTTGGGGATGTTTAAATAGCCATAATATAAAGCTGGGTTTTTTTTTTATGTTTCATTTATTTCTGAGAGAGAGAGAGAGAGAGACAGCGTGAGCAGGGGAGGGTCAGAGAGAGAGGGAGACATAGAATCTGAAGCAGGCTCCAGGCTCTGAGCTAGCTGTGAGCACAGAGCTCGATGCAGGGCTCAAACCCACGAATCGTGAGATCATGACCTGAGTTGAAGTCGGACGCTTAACCGACTGAGCCATCCAGGCGCCCCTAAAGCTTTTGTTTTTAAAGCCTGCAGATGATAAAGTACTTAGCTGTATGACCTTGGTTACTTCTGAGTCCCAGTGTCCTTATTGTTAAAATCGGGCTACCAACACCTACTTTGAAGGCTGATGTAAAGATTAGGAAAAATGAATGTATAGCGCACAGAAGAACCTGGATCACAGTATGTGGTTATTAAATAGTGACTGTGGCTTGTACATATGTTCTCAAGAGAGTCTGACATTTAGTGGGAATTTGTATTTCTTTATAAGATTAATATGTATGTGTTATAAAATATATATAAAATGTGTCTATAAAATAATATAAATAATTTTAGTTTTCTAAAACATCAATGCTGTTGTTTTTAGGTTGATTTTCATTATTTCAATAATGCATACCATACATTTCTGAAAAGCTTTAGTGAAGACTGGTTTATGGGTTTCCAATCATTTATTTTAAATGTTCCCTGTGGGATATTTAAATAGGGATATTTGAGCCTTATGAAGGATGGACTTGATTTTTCGATGAAATAAGTTATTCCAGCCAATTCCAGTGGGTGAGAAAACTGTGAAATGCCAGTCTGTACCAAAAACTAGATGGATTGGATGAGACTAAAATTTTTTACACAGCTCATCAAAAGTAATCTAAAAGAGGATCTTTTTATCACTGTATATTTCAAGAAACTCACTTGGGGCACTTGTGATCCATTTAACAGCTTTTCACCCACCAACTTACCGATGTACTACTGCTATTGCTGGCTGCGCTGAAAGGGTCAGTACTTGAAGTGGCAAAAGGATCCGTAGAAGACTGCTTGAAGAAACAGTCAGATGCAAATGGATCTGAACCTTTGAAAGGATCACCTCCAAATGGATCTAAGAAAATACAGCACATATATGAAAAGACTAAAAACTACTACACGAAATTTCCTATCACTTGAAGGTATGATAATTGCCTAAATAAAAAGACAGTTTGAACTTCTGCAGAATCTAAAATAGGTACTTTGTGTTATGATTATTGATCATAGGAATATAAATAGTTGCACCTAAATAGGTTAAATTAATATTCTTTTTCCTACTTGTTCATCAATCACCCAAAGCAAATCAATAATGCCAACACATACTACACAAAAGTTACCTGTATGCTAGGTTTAAATAATTCCTCTAAGTTGGTGATTCTAATTTTAGGGGAAAGGGGATCACAAATTCCTTTGTGATTTTGTTAAAAAATATAGTCTTTCAACTAATAAATTTATTTGGAGCAGGTTTGGGAAGCATAACCAAATGGTACACAAGATTTGCTTTAATTCTAATGCAAAATCCCAGGGAAAGAATATATCATAAAGCCTGACATTTAGTAATTCTTTCAGATGTTTTCTTTCCCCCCATTCATATGCTAAAATCTCAGGAAAACAAAATGTTCTAAACCCTATAGTAGCATAGATCACTATACTCATCTAAACCTTGGAAACAAGGAAAAATCAGTCTAAGTCCTATAAAAAGCATCAAAATATAAACACTAATATTATTTTTTAAAAAGTAAAGCTAACAATTCATGAAGCAAATTCACAAGCATCTACCACTTTCTCTCTAAAAATGCCAGGCACTTACAACATCTTGGTGGGGCCTTATATCAGTTTAAAAATTGAATAAAAAGGAAGTCCACTTACTATAACTACCTCACTTTGATCTCTCATTTCTAAATACAACATAAGTTTATAATCAAGAAGAATCAAATCACAGCCAAACTGGACCTCAATAATATACTCACCAATTTTCCCAAAAGGATCATCCTTAAAAGGATCACCTATGATAAAATAAGTAAGTAGAAATCACAATAACAATATTTACTGCATGACATCATTACTTAATAGTAACTTTAAATAAAGCAAAGTTTGTTAAACCAAAGTCTATTTCATTAACTTCCTCAAAGTACATAAAACACTGAATGCCATGCACCTTTAGGAAACACTTAAAACAATAAAGAATAAAGGCAGAACATTAACATATCTCATAAAAGAGGCAAATTTTAGCTGGAGCCACCAACTACACTTAACTCTTGATCACAAGTTGAGGTTACAGATAGAAGGGAAAAGACAGGCAGAACTGCAATAATTTTACTAACAAAATTCTCTACTCCTCACAAGAGTTCTGGATGGGTATTACCATCACCACTTCAGAAACAAAGACACTGAGCTTCACTGAAGTAAAAAATAATTCTTCTAGAACTAAAGAGTCCAGAAATAAACCCTTACATTTATGGTCATTTGGTATTTGACAAGAGTGCCAAGACAATTCCATGGTGAAAACACAGTCTTTTCAACAAATGATGCTGAGACAAATGGATAGCCACATGCAAAAGAATAAAGTTGGGCCCCTATCTCATACTATATACCCAAATTAACTAAAAATAGATCAAAGATCGAAATGTAACAACTAAAACTCTAAAACTCTTAGAAGAAAACTTAAGAGTAAATCTTTATGACTTTGGATCTTAGATATGACATAGAAAGCACAAGTGATGAAAGAAAATATAGATAAATAGGACTTGATCAAAATTAAGACAATGCAAAATACAAGGAAATATTTGCAAATTATATATTTCATAAGGGACTTGTATTCAGAATATGTGAAGAACATTTACAAGTCAACATAAAAAGAGAAACAATAAAAAATGGGTAAATTATTTGAATAAACATTTCTCCAAAGAAGGTATACAAATGGCCAATAAGGACACAGAAAGATGCTCCACAAAAGCTACTTACAAATGACATATCCGATGAAGGGTTGTATCCAAAATAAAGAAAGGACTCATAAAATTCTACATCCCCCCCAAAATAATACAATTAAAGACTGGGCAGAAGACATGAATAGACACTTTTCCAAAGAAGACATACACATGGCTAAGAGACACATAGAAGATGCTCAACATCACTCATCATCAGGAAATATAAATCAAAACTAGAAGGAGCTATCACCTCACACCTGTCAGAACGGCTGAAAGTAACAACACAAGAAACATGTGTTGATGAGGATGTGAAGAAAGGGGAACCCTCTTGCATCATTGGTGGGAATGCAAACTGGTGCAGCCACTCTGGAAAGCAGTATGGAGGTTCCTCAAAAAATTAAAATAATTTTACCCAAAGAATACAAAAGGGGCACCTGAGTGGCTCAATTGGTTAATCTTCTGATTTTGGTTCAGGTCATGATCTCAGTTCATGGGTTCAAGCCCTGTATCGGGTTCTCTGCTATCAGTACAAAGCCTGCTTCAGAACCTCAGTCCCCCACACCCCCACTGCTTGTGCTCTTTCTCTCTCAAAAATAAATAAACTTTAAAAAAAAAGAATACAAAAATACTAATTCAAATGGATACATGTACCCCAATGTTTACACCAGCAATATCTACAATAGCCAAACTAGGGAAACATCCCAAATGTCCATCGACTGATGGATGGGTAAAGAAGATGTGATATTTATGTGTATATATAATGGAGTGTTATTCAGCCATCAAAAAGAATAAAATCTTGCCATTTACAACAATGTGGATGGAGCTAGAGAGTGTGAAATAAGTCAAAGAAAGACAAATAACATATGATTTCACTCATATGTGGAACTGAGGAAACAAAACAAATTATCACAGGGGAAAAACAATGACAAGCAAACCAAGAAACAGGTTCTTAACTACAGAGGACAAATTGATGGTTTCCAAAGGGGATGTGGGCATGGGGTAAGTTAAATATGTGATGGGCACTGAGGAGGGTACTTGTGATGAGCACCAGGTGTTGTACATAAGTGATGAATCACTAAATTCTATACCTGAAACTAATATTACAGTGTATGTTAACTAATTGGAATTTAAATAAAAACTTAGGAGCGCCTGGGTGGTTCATTCAGTTGGGCGTCTAACTTGATTTTGGCTCAGGCCATGATCTCATGGTTCGTGGGACAGGGCCCCATGTTGGGCTCTGCACTTACAGTGGGGAGCCTGCTTGGGATCCTCTCTCCCCCTCTCTGTCCCTCCTTGGCCCCCCCCAAAATAAATAAATAAACCTAAAAAATAATAATAAATAAAAACAAAACTGTTGTAAACTGACCTATCAGTTTCACAAATCAATTTGGAAATAAATAAATTGCAAAAAGAGCGTGGACACACGTGGTATGTAAACAGTTTACATTAACATCAGATATTTTAATTTATTAAACTTATATTTCTTCAATAACACTATAGGCACCTTAAGGGCAGGGATCAGGCTATAGATTCCACTGTTTTAAAAGCATGGTGTTGGCACTTGAGTAAAAAATTGCTGGTTGACTTAAGAGTATCTAATCTCTTCTCCTGGTCCATAATATCTCTTTCTTTTGGCTCTTATTCTGAAGAAGAAAAATGCTCTTAATCAGGGGCTTGTAAGACATAATCAGTGGCTTAGTTCCCGGAGTTAGTTGCCTCAAGAGGACAGATACTAGCAAGAACAAGCATATCACATCTCTACTCCCCTTTAGTTTTGTTGTAATAAGTAGCTCTCAAAATGAATTCTTATACAATTTATACATTAAATTCTTATGCAGTTTATATATTTAAAAGACTTTTTTGGGGGTAAATCCATAATATAAAAATAAGAGTACTTACTGCCAACAAAAGGATCAGACTGGAAAAAATCCAAGTTTGTATCTGCAACTGGATCGGCCAGTGAACTTGATTCTACATTAAATGGATCTCCCTAAAAATAATTTTAAATTAAAAAATATTGTTTTAGGAACCAGTTTTAAGATGTAACATTTTAAAATAAAATAACATGCTATGAAAAATCAATGAATGGTAATATAACAAATATTTTTGTAGTCATAAAGTTCACTTAACACATTTTTCTTTCGTTAGCCTAAAACAGTATATAATGCATCCAGAAAAACCAGTAATGAGAACACTTACATATAAAATTATTTTTTACCTCTTTTGAATGTCTGTCACTATTAAATTCAGGACAAACTTTCTCACTAACAGCTGTAGTCACCACTTCATTGTCATCAGTCACACCAGAAGGCAGTGTTTCGGGACTACTTCTTGCCTACAAAATATTAATGTTACATGGACTAACAATGTATTTTTCTACTTGGTATAGGAAACTGACAGAGGATAACCAAAAATTACTAAAAAATACAAAAGACAAGCAGAACATATTAATCAAATGAGTTATTCTCTTAACATCTTTCTTATCATCAAGCATTGAAGTCAATCAGGCCAGATAACTTCAAATCATCCTTAACCACTTCCCTTTGGTCATCCCCCAGCTAGCTTCCAAGTCTTGCTGAATCTACCTCCAACCTTCTTCTCAAATCCATTCCTCTCCATCCTCACTGTCACTATCATCCATTTACAGTATCATCATTCTGGTCCCTAGCTCACTATAATAACCTTCCAAATGACTTCCTGCTTCCAATATGTGTCCTTCCAATCAATCCTTCTTATAGTAGCCAAAATAATAGATCTAAAATGTGAATCTGATCATGACCCTTCTGGTTAAAGGTTCTTCAATGGCTTTCCATTGCTTTCTGGATTTTGACCAATAGGTAAAAGGGCTTAAAAAGAGGCAGGGGAAATCTCCATTTCAAATCACCCTATGTTTTTGAAGCATAACCTAGTAATTTGCCTTTTGTACTTAAAACAATATTGTATAATGTATCCAAGACTTCAATACCTAAATAAAAATCAAGTTTGTTAATTTTATATCCTTTATCTCTAGAGCTTATATTCTTCTCATCATTTCTCCTATTACTGAGTAAGTTTAGGCTAAAACAGTATCACACAGACCATTTCAATAGTCTCTTAAAAAATCTATGTGCAGTCCCACTCTTAAATCCATTTTCTACATTTTCTACAAGGTAAATACAATTCTGTCACTTCTTGCTTAAAATTCTTCAACGGTTACTTACTGCAGTAAGATACATCACCCAGTGCTTCAAGAGGAATCCAAATGTCTTACTCTCTAGCCCTTTCTAAGCTAAAAGTGGTCATTTTTATCCAGGTACACATCATAATCACTTGTGGAATTTTTGGTAAAAATATATGTACTTGGCATCATCCCAGAAACTCTAGGTCAGCAAGTTTGGAGTAGGGTGCAGTCATCTGTATATTAAGAAAGAGGTGGGGTGCCTGGGTGGCTCTGTCGGTTGAGCGTCCCAACTTCGGCTCAGGTAATGATCTCACAGATCATGGGTTCAAGCCCCACGTCAGGCTCCGTGCTAACAGCTAGCTCAGAGCCTGGAGCGTGCTTCAAATTCTGTGTCTCCTTCCCTCTCTGACCCTCCCCTGCTCATTCTCTCTCTCTCAAAAACAAATAAAACATTTAAAAAAAATTAAGAAAGAGGTAATGCAGGTAGCCACTATCAGAGAGCCTCATCTACCAATACTCTCCCCACTATCACAAGAGAGCCTTCAAGAACTTCTTGTGACCATATGTGGCACATAATACCTATGAAAAATGCTATTTTCTCTGCCAGGAATATATTACCTTCTTCTTTGCTTAACCCTTTTTACTCTGAAGCTCACTTGTAAAGCTTTCTCTAAAATATCTTCTTGAGCCCCCTCCAAGCTGTCCTACCTGAATATCCTGTGCTTTCTTTATCACAGCCCTTTAATATAGTGTAACACTGGGGCGCCTGGGTGGCTTAGTCGGTTGAGCGTCTGACTTTTGCTTGGGTCATGGTCTCGCGGTTTGTGGGTTCGAGCCCCGCGTCGGGCTCTGTGCTGGCTGCCAGCTCAGAGCCTGGAGCCTGTTTCAGAGTCTGTATCTCCCTCTCTCTCTGACCCTCCCCTGTTCACGCTGTCTCTCTCTATCCTAGAAATAAATAAAAATATTAAAAAAAAACAAAAAAAACAAAAAAACCCCCCAAAAAACACAGTGTAACACTGCCAGACTGTACACTGCTTAAAGGCAAGGTTAAAGTCTTTTGTCTCTGAAGCTCTCACACATAACAGAGTAGCACTGCTACACATAGCTGGTGCTCTCTAAAGAGCTGGTAAATAAATGACCTCAACATTACGAAATAAAAAATTACTTTCAGCGTTGGGTGAGAGTACTTAAAAATGTTTTGTAAAGTTACTATCTAAGGAGCTGTTTTGAAAACACACTTTATAATTAATTAAAATTATATTTTACACTAATTAAAACTGTTATAACTGTTGAATAAATACCTACTCTCTGCCTCTTAAGGGAAAAAATTTCAACTGTCCTCAGATGAGGCAAGGCCACATATATATTTGTCAACAAAACCTTTTTTTTTCTTCTGAAGTTGATTATGGAGTTTATGTAACTATTAGACTCACTGGAGATTCCTGGTGTATGGGCTCAGACTCCAGGTTGCCTTGGCCTTCAGCATGCTCATTAAGGTTAGCTGTTTCACTGCTGCTGGTGCTGAGGCTGCAATAATCTGTAGCACCATTTACAAGAATGCTGTGTGGGCTACTGCACCAATTTAATTGATTATTATGGTTTTCCAGTTCTTTCATCTCCATCAGTTTCATTTGCATCTGTCAACACAAAGTAGAAATACAAAACAGGATTTATTACTAGAAAGACTCAAAATATAAAAATAGCTATACACTTAGACTCAGCCAAAGATAAATTTGCTTCCATTAAGGAGAATTCTCTGGGGATGCAGTATGACTTAGAGAGGTTTAAGTAATCCATCCCAGAAAGTTCTCCTGAAATTCCAGTATATGTGGATTTGTTTTTGTACATCTTTTGAAGGTTTCAAGAATTTTGACTCAAATATTTGCATTTTGGTGTCCTTTAGATAAAATAGGGGGAAAGGTCAGGGTATTAGGAAGAAGATAGCAAAGTAACAGAGCAAGAAGAGATTTTGTGATGAAGCTTTGGGAGAAATAAAGGAAGCTGAGGGAGAGCACACAAGGGTTTAGAGCTATCCACACTCCTATTACGAAGGAGAGGAGTGAAGACGAAGGTAAAATAAACTACTGTCCTATGTTCTGGCATTATTTATTAATGGGCTAGAGTCCTAGGAAGCGGTCTCTAAATCTAAGCTATTCTAAATATGTTAAATAAAATAAAAAGTATTTTGGATTTCAGTATCCATGTGACTTTATATTTCTGGAACAGTTGGGGTACACGGAGGCAGAATTCAATAAACTGTAATCTTCAGTATTAAAAGAAAAAGGTGGGGACCAGAAGCAGGAAAAAAATGCTTATTGATACCAACATCTATAATAAAGAAAAAGAAATTAACAAATATCTCAAACAAACTTAAGAGAGGGCAGAATCAAAATAGGTTTCTAGTTGGGACACCCGGGGGGGGCTCAGTTTGTTGGGTGTCCAATTTCGACTCAGGTCATGATCTTATGGTTAGTGAGTTCAAGCCCCTGTGCTTGACATCGAGCTCTGTGCTGACAGCTTGGAGCCTGGAGACTGCTTTGGATTCTGTGTCTCCCTCTCTTTCTGACCCTCCCCACTTATGCTCTGTATCTCTCTCCTTCAGATATAAATAAACATTAAAAACATTTTAAAAAATGATTCTAGTGAAAAGGAGTAATGAATGGAATTTTACTGAATAGTTCCCATCCTTCATAAAATAATTTTTTTACATTACATTGGAATTCTCTTTGTGTTTTTTTTTCCTAGCAACCATAAAAGTTACCTATTAACATTTCATAAATCAAGTCTTAGTTCCCATAATCTTACTTTCTGCATAAGGTTTTTAAGTTGCTCATTTTGGAATCTGTAATTTACCAAAGGTCTTTTTAGGGTCATAACCTGGGAAGGGAACACTATTTTAGACTGGGAGACATGTCAATCAAGCTCTATAACCTTCAATTCTGTTAGTCAAAGCTTAGTCTCCAAGCTTCCATTTCTTAATCCATAAAGTACGAACTATCTCCACAGATGATTAAGTGAAGCAGAAATTTTTGAAAAAATTCTGTAAAATGTAAAGGTCTGTGTAAACAGCGGACATTGTGTATAAAGTGCCTAGCACTCTGCATTTCTCACTATTATACCAATTACATTTTCCCGTTTCTTTTCCACGAATTCATTCCACTTTTAAAAAGTTAAAGATCTTGGGGCGCCTGGGTGGCTTAGTGGGTTAAGCGTCCGACTTTCACTTAGGTCATGATCTCGCGGTTCGTGGGTTCGAGCCCCGCGTCGGGCTCTGTGCTGACTGCCAGCTCAGAGCCTCAAGCCTGTTTCAGAATCTGTCACTCCCTCTCTCTCTGACCCTCCCCTGCTCACTCTGTCTCTCTCTCTCTCCTAGAAATAAATAAAACATTTAAAAAAAAAAAAAAAAGTTAAAGACCTTGATCTCTTTGAGGACAGAGACCACAACTTTTGCTATCAACTTTGTATGTCCAACATCCAGCACAATGATGTACACTGCAAGTGCTTAATATATGTTCACTGAATGGACATAAGTATTGTGTTTATAAATTTAAACAGTGGGTATCAGTAAGCATATGTATCTACGAAACTGCACTGTATTTAGAATTTAACAATCTAAAATACTATATATTTGTAACACATAGTATACTGTATATTCTTAGTGCTATTGAGTTGTGGCTTATGTATACATTTTTTTACCCTAATCCATAGAAAGAAATAGATTTTACACCCTAACACAGTAAATATATATGTATTTATTTGAATGTGGCTCTCTGTGTACTTATATAAATGCACAGATAGATACATTGATCCACGTGAATAATCTACACACATGCACACACACATACACACACATCTAGTTGTGAAAGTTTCATGATAATACTTATCCTTATTCCATGTAATGCACCCTGATGTTTCCTATTCTGTCTTATTTCATTTTTATTTGTATTTATTTTTTCAAATACAATGCATGTCTTTATTTTTTTGAAACAAAAACAACTGGCATAAGTATATATATGAATGCACAGGCACACAGACAGGTACATCCATGTGCAGACAGAATTCTAAAAGGATACCATGCTGCAAACACTGTTTTCCTCCAGGAGGTAGAATTATCAGACTTCTCACTTTCTATTTTTACAGGTGTACATAGTGTAGTACTCCATTATTAACAATAGTTAATTTGATTTTTTATACATTAAATGTTTGCAATGTATATGAGGAAAACAAATGTGCATGTATAAAATAATTTTATGCTATTTGGATAAAACAATTTTACGTTTATGGGTAAGGCAGTATTTGTCACTGAGTTGGGCACAATCACTGACTATACAGGCCAGGGAGATGTTTTCTGTGGGGACCAGAGGCACAGCTCTCCCCTTGTCCATCCACTTCACAGCTGCCCAATACCTCCTCTGTATTTTCCCATTTCTGACTTTTTTTCTTGTTGCTGACTGAATCTCCTGAAGCTCACAAAATTATCAGGCTGCAAGTATTTGAGGAGTGATAATATGATGCTTATTCACTTCCAGTTATCAGTGGTATCAAGTTGGGTCGGCTTCATGGAGTCTGAAATAATGAACACCTCAGTGATCAGCAGCACCAAAAACTCAAAAGCTCTGAACACTTCAGGACACTCCTACTTTATTTCATTTTTAAAAAATTTTTTATCATGACCATTAAACCAATTTCAATACCCACTACACCTTTACAGTCTAAAATTTAAAACCTTGGAGTACTTGGCTGTCTCAATTGAGAAAGCATGTGACTCTTGATCTTAGGGTCGTGAGTTTGAGCCCCATGTTGGGTGGAGAAGTGACTTAAATAAATAAAAAATTTAAAAATGAATGAATAAATAAGTAAATAAATAAAATTTAAAACCTTAACACTAAAATAATACCCATCATATAGATGATGCAGTGTGTGGGATACTTGCCAATCAATGAGTTTTATATAGGACAATTTATTCCTTACAATTACATCTGAGACAAAAAAATCTTGAACAAAACTAGGCTTTCCTGTGTCTTGCTTTCTCATGCACCTGTTTTCTTCCTTAGTCTCTGCATAAACTTAGAGGATATAGAGGAAATAAAAATCATAGAACTAACACAAGCTCTATCAGAATGCCAGAAACACCTGAATTAAAATAGTATATATATTGTATAAGTAAGATACAAAGACTTAAACCCAGAGGTTTTTTTGCTTTTTCTTACCATAAATACAAGGTAAGAAGATAAAAATACAGCAAATCACAAAAATTTTCTTCAATTATTCCTTTTACCAGAAAAGCTATAGTTTGGCTTTAAAGATCAATTGAAGTCTCAGGATAATTTATAACTGCATTTTCATTTTTATAGACCAATGGGAAAATACTGCCTTTTGTGGGAAAGACACATGTCATTCAGTCAAAGGTGAAAAATTGGTATTTTTTTTCTTTTCTTGTTTAAGTTTTTAATTTTTTACTTATTTTTATTTTTTAAGTAAACTCTACAACCAATATGGGGCTTGAACGTATGACCCCAAGATCAAGAGTCCCATGCTCTACTGACTGAGCCAGCCAGATGCTCTGATATGTTTGTTTTTAAGGTTTGGAGATCAGATGCAAGGATATAATGCCTTCCACAGATCCCAAATATCTTCTGGCACACTGGTAGTATATTTTGCTGAGATTATTTTCCTTGCTCAGAAACACTGTTTTTATTTTCTCAGTAATAATTTATAATATCCAGAGTCCCTTCTACTTTTCTCATTCATGCTTCTTCCTTTGAAAGAATTCCTCTTTCAAAAAACTCAAAGAAAATGAAAAGACAAGCCAGATATGGGGAGAAATTATTTGTCAATCTAATATATGATAAAGAACCTATATCCAAAATATATTTTTAAAAATTCTTGTAATTTCATAATAATTAGACAGACAATCCAATTTTTTCAAATGGGCAAAAGACTTACACAGACATTTCATCCAAGAGGATTTACAAATGGCTAATAAGCATATGAGAAGATGCTCAACATTACTAGTCATTAGAAAAACGCAAATTAGAAACTATGAGACACCACTTCCCATGTACTGGAATGATTATAATCAGTTAGACAATAAAAGTGTTGTTAAGATAGTAGAGAAACTGGAACCCTCATATATTGCTAGTGGGAATGTGAAATGGTACAGTGACTTTGGGAAACAGTTTGGCAATTTAAAGGATAAAAAAAATTTTTTTAATGTTTATTTGTTTTTGAGAGAGACAGTGCAAGTGGGGGGGGGGGGCGGACAGAGAGAGAGGGAGTCACAGAATCTGAAGCAGGATCCAGGTTCTAAGCCATCAGCACAGAGCCTGATATGGGGCTCGAACTCATGAATTGAGAGATCATGACCTGAGCCAAAGGCGAACACTTAACCAACTGAGCCACCTGGACACCCCTAAAGTTAAAAGAGAAAATTTAAACAAAACTTCACAATATAACCAACTATTCCATATCCAAGAGAAAGGAGAACACATATCCATATAAAGAATTATATGCAAATGTTCAAAGCAACATTACTCATTATAATAGCCAATAGGCAGAAAGAATCCATATGTCCATTAATCCGTGAATGGATAAACAAATACTTTTTAAATATACAATGAAATAAATGTTGATACATGCTGCAACACAGATGAGCCTCCAAAACATTATGCTTGTGAAGGAAACCACATGAAAAAGGCTGCACAACATTTGATTTCATCTACACGAAGTGCTCATAAAAGCCAACCTATAGAGGTAGAAAGGAGATTAGTAATTACTTAGGGGTAGAAGTGGGGACTCACACAAATGGGCACAAGGGATCTTTTAGAAGTGATAGAGATGTCCCAAAACTGGATTGTGATGTTTGAACAATTCTAAATTTACTGAAAATCACTGAATTGGACCCTTAAAACCTGTGAGTTTTATGGTATATAAATTACCTCAAAAAAACAATTGTTAAAAACATTCAAAGAAGAAATTTTAAAGAATATTCATTCAGCGGGTAGCAGTATCACTAGGATAGCTTTCTTTTGGGTTATCTATATATTGAGTACATACACAGGGATAAGAACTATCCTAAAGGATAAGAGAAAAAAAATGTGTAGTTCCTAGATCAAAAGGCTCAGTCTGCTTGGGGAGACAGACACATAAACAAATATTTAGGGGAAAATGTTATGAATGCTGTAACAGAAGTAGAGTCCAATAAAGGCAGGGTACAGAAAATGGTATAAAGAAACAAGAGGTTAAGCTATGTTTTGCAAGATGAGTGAATGGGTATTCATCTACAAGAGAGGGGAAGGAAGTATACTAAGGGTAGGGCTTTATCACACATAATAATTAACTGAGAACACTGGACTACATGTTAGAAGATCTGGATTCTAGGCTGTGGCTCCTTTTTCAAAGCCTAGGTACCCAGAGGCGAGTTACTTAATCTTCCTTGGCTTCAGTTTGTTCAAATTCAAAATGAAAAGAATGAGCTACATGATCTCTCTGTTCCTAACTATCTTACTATCATTCTATAAACTATTATTTCCCATTTAGGAAAGCCCAGAAATAACAAAGCAAGAGATCTATACTCTGGACTCACACAACATGGTATGTTTATCTACATAAAGAACAATTTCCTAATAAAAAAAATAAAGGTCTCCAAATGAGCAAAACTCGTTTTAAGATTAGAATCCCAAAAGGGAAGACACGGCATTGTTATTTACAAAAATAAGCAACACTTAAGCAAGCATTTATGTACCAAACACTATGCTAAAATGTCTCACAGTATTTAAACCTTTACATTGCATTTAATCCTTACAACAGACCTAAAAGGTAGAAGTATTGTTAATTTTCCAATTGTAAAGACGAGGAATCTGATACTAAGGTGATTTATACAGTTAAGTGGCAGATCCAGCACTTAAACCTAAATCATGTAACTACGATACCCATACTCTTAACCAGGACTTCAATGATAATCATCAGACACAAGATGTGTAACCGTCTTAACTTATGACAGGCAACAAGAAACCTATTTGTACAAAATGGATGAAAAATGAGTAACAGACTAGGCAGAGGATAAAGGAACACAGGTATTATTCACTAAGAGGATATGGTGAGGCCCTGTTTAAGAATATTTCTTGCTGCCACAAAGACTTACTGAACTGATTTCCTGTTGTGAATCTTGAAGGTGCTGCTGAAGAGGTCCAAGCTGAGCCTTCCCTGACTCCACACTCTCCTCCAATTCTGCTGTTTCTTGCTGTAAGCGACTCAGCTCCTCCCTAGCTTTGGCCAGTTCTTCCTCATAAGTAGAGATCTGCGATTCTTGACTAGTCAATTCAGCTTTCAGGGATGAGATCTATCACATGCAAATGAATGAGAAGAAAGAGGGATAAAAAAGAGATGTCATTAAAATGTTCCATAATGCCAATATGTTTATTTGTTTACTATTTTGGTGTTTTGTGAAGTATATATATTTGGTATAAAAGGACAATTAGGGGATGAATAGAGGAAACTTGGAAGGTACAGGTACCATACTTTCAGCTAAAATTTAAAAAAGTTGTACATTAAGGGCCCTCTTTCCCCTAATGAGGACCTGTAATTTCTGGATGAACAGTGCTCCAACTTCTTCATGTGCCCCAACTGTTGCTCAGATTGCCACCTAACAACAACAGCAGCAACAATAACAAGCAAAGCATGTTTCCATCTAACACCAGGAAACAAAACTAAGGTATGGATACAGATAGCAGCAAATGGCCAGACTGTACCAGCTGGGCCTCCTCAGCGCATTTCTTTCTAACTTCCTTCAGTTGCTCCTCCAGCTGGGATTTCTGCTCATCCAGTCCATCAAGGAGTTCCTGTACTTGCTGTTTCTGGGCCTGTAGTTTTTGCAGATTAGTATTCTCCCTTTGAACTTCATCTTGGAGATCCTGAAATACAAGAAAGTTAACATTTATTATCTTTGGAGAGAGGGGAAGGTTAAGCTAACAATTTTTAAAGGTTACATTAAGGGAAAATAAAGTCTCATCTTATTCACTATATTGTGTTGGTAGACTAGAGGAAACCTAGCTTTAAATAGAGTCTTTACTTGAGATTTCTTCCCTAGACACCAGGCTTTTAAATCCAATTTGCTTACTCAAATCTGTCCTTCGAGGTCTGATGAGCTTCTTGAACATGTCAAAAACAGAACTCCTGGCATTTCCCTCCTAAATCTGCTTGATCTTCAATCTTCCCCCTCTCAGTTTCTCTGGCCAAAAAGAACAGCATCTTCTGTGACTCCTCTTTCTCTCACATCTCATCTCCAATCTGTCAGCAAATCTTATGGCTTCTTCCTTCAGAATATATCCAAACTGACCATTTTTTCCCCTTCTACCTTGGTCCAGGTCACTTTTATCTCTCTCCTGGATCACTGCCTTCTAACTGGTTTCCCTGCTTCTACCCAGGCTACCTACAGTTTATTTTCAGCACAGCAGCCACTATTAAAAACCGGTGTCAGATGAGTCACTCCTCTACCCAGAACTCTGCATTGACTCCCTATCTCCCTTACTATAAAAAGTCCTCATGGTGGGCCTGTATCTCTCAACTTCATTTCCTACTGCATTCTCCCTTGCTCAGTCACTCTGGGCCTCACTGCTGCTCCTCAAACAGGCTCCGCTCAAGATTTTCCATTGATTACACCTCCTTCATAGAAAGTTCTTCGCCCAGGTATCCATATGGCTCAATCCCTCGTCTCTTTCAAGTCTTTGCTCAACTATAACCTTCTCAGTGAGGCCTTCCTCATCAGCACCAGCACCAGCACTACCATCAGCATCACCAGTACCATTACCACCACCTCCCTTCCCTAAATCTACTTCATATATAGCAATAATTTTATTTATTTTTTAGAACAGCTTTACTAAGATAAACATACTGAATAACTCACCCATTTAAAATGTACAATTCAATGGTTTTGAGTACCTTTACAGAGCTGTGCAGCCATCGCAATTTCTTTTAGAACATTTTCTTCACTCCAAAAAGAAACTCCATACCTACCAGCAAGTCACTCTCTATTTGCTTCCCAATCACCCCAGCCCTAGGCAACCACCAATCTACTTTCCATTTCTAAGAGCTTTGTCTATTCTGGATATGGAGAACCATTCATGCACCCCTAAAAATAACGATACCTTTTTACTAACATACTGTTCAAAGGCCCCTTCAATCATTCCTCAGAATAAGAATCTAAGAACAACAAAAGAAGAACATAGAAGGTTCTGAATTACACATGACTTATACAAAACAAGGACATCTACAATAGCCCTTATAATGTGCTAGGTATTGTTCCAGGCTCCTTACATATATTAATTCATTTATAATCCATATGACTTATCTATGAAGTAAGTACTATGGTTAATCACATTTGACAGATGAGAAAACTGAGGCATAGATGGGCAAGTACTTGTCCAAAGTTACAGTTAGCAGGTGATGGATTCAAACTAGTTTCTGACTCCAGAGTCTGAGCTCTTAATCACTAAGCTGTACACAGTGTCTATAGATTAAATGTCTCACAAGTATACCACTATTTCTCAAATACATGTAGATGCTTCAGTGATTAAATAAAACATTGAACAGCTTTTCATAACTGATTTTTACTTATATTTTCTGAACCAACTGATTAATCTAAAGGTGCAACTACTATCATGCTGCTTTCTTTAAAAAGGTCCTTTAAAAGAGCCAACACAATGGATGATCATGAAACTCTTCTTGTGCATACATTCCATGAGTCTATGTGATCACAGATTCATAATGGTAAGCCACAAGTATTTTATCATTAGTTTCCCAGCATGCCTAAATTTTTTCATGCCTAAATTTTTAACCTTGCCTATACTGTTAAGTGAATCATATTCAAAATGAAGATATTGTTTTAGATATGCACGTGGGATTGGCCCTCAATAAATACATGCTAGTTTTCATTGTCCTTTCCTTGACTCATGCTTTGCTTTTCTGCCTTTGTTTCTTCCTATTACAAACATCCAACTTTATTAAAAAAAAAAATTCATGGCAAAGGAGATTTCTTTAATCACTCTGCTATAAAATATATAATGGCTCCCTCTTATCTGTAAGATAAAGTAAAATTGCCTACAAGATACATTAGAACCTTTAATACTGGGCCCCATGTTATCCTTTCTCTTCTACTACCCTCTTCTCCTTATGTTCATCAGTGCCCCAGCCTCAATAGACCATCTTCTTTCTCCAATATACTTCAATGTCCCTGTTTTGCCTTTTGCCTAAGCCATTTCTTCTTCTATGAGTGCCCTTCCATACCATGGTTATCTGGAAACCCTATGCATGTAATGATAATTACAAAGTTTCTAGTACCTGGTAGAAACTATTGGAAAATGTGCCTGAGGTTGATAGAAAGAAAGAATTTTAGGTTCTTTTAACATGCTGTGAAAAGCTTCACCCTGCATTTAAACTGTAAGTATTAATAGTAGCCTCAAACTGACCTATGATAAGTGCTTTTTGTTAAAATAACTCTTAAGTTTCTGTACTGGTGCAATATTTTTATAGTCTATAGGCCAAGACTTATCTGACATTTAGAATTTCCATTACTGTATACGGAAATAATCTTTAGTGCTTTAGCATTTTACTGTGACATATACCTTTCCTGTATTTTAAACTTTTATATTTGTGTTTTTTACATAATATTATGTAGTACTGTTTTTTTGTTTGTTTGTTTTTTTGTTTTTTTTTTTTTGAGACAGAGAGAAAGGGAGAGTGAGCAAGTAGAGGAGAGGAGGAGAGGGAGAGAAGGGGACAATCTCCAGCAGGCTCTATGCTCATCCTGGAGCCAACACAGGGCTCAATCCCACGAACCATGAGATCATGACCTGAGTCAAAAGTAAGAGTGGGATGCTCAACCGACTGAGCCACCCAGGTGCCCCTATGCACTATTCTTACTCTTCAGGAAGACAGAATAACAGCTTCACTTTAACACAGTAACTTGAGAAACTCCAGTGGATTGAAAATTTCTTATAAGTCAATTATAAAACATTTTTAAAATGCCACCTGCAGCTCTAAAGTAATTTTTTATTGGTTTGAGAATATGATCCATAATAAATACCTTACTTTGGTGTTAAAGGTATCATTATACACTTTATATATATATAAAGTATGATATGCTGGTCTAAAAAGCATTTTTTATGAATCCTGTGGAAATTTTTTTTTCTTTTTCCCCTTAATTAAAAATGTTCAGGGGTGGGGAAAGGAAAAAAAAATTAGTTACCTATTCCCATCCTCAAATATTCTAACTTCCCACCCTCTCTCAACTTCCTGCCCCATCCCCCCAAATTTTGGACTTGATCTCCAATAATATCTAATCTTTATAAATAGATGTAATTTTGAGGTCTCTTTTATTATGACTCTAATTAAAAATAAAATTTACCTTAAAAGGGTATGTAATATAAGAAAATGTCTAGGACATAATGCCAATTTTTAAAAGTTGAATACAAAGGCATGTACAGTATAATCACAAAGAAATATAAAACTGTTTACGTATATTCATTAAAAATATAGCAAAATGTTAACAATGGCACTCTCTTGTTGAAATTGTAGGGTTTTTTCTTTTTATACTTTTCTATAGTTTACAATTTATTATGAACCAATATTATTTTCATAATCCAAAAATATCAAGTCTGCAGTTTAAGTATCATATATGTCTGGTGGTTTCACACCAGTATAAAAATATTCAGATGTGACTGAATTTTTATGTAAGAGCTAACAATAGTAGGATTAATGCTGGTTTCCTTTAATAAACTGAACTATTTTTCAAAACTAGTATTTTTAGTGAGCCACTTTGAATACAACCTTAGAAGATAAGTTTACGCAAGAGGAAAGGGAATAAACAAGCCAATATAATATTTACTCATTCTTGACCTTTCTCTTCCACAGAACAAAGTCACTCAAATTTCCCAGCCTCATTTCTTAGCTACAGTAAAAAGACACTTAGTAACACAAAAGTATAGACCTCAAGGGAAAGGTTACTGAGAAAATACCTCACATTAGTGATATCTAAGCTGGAGAGATGTCCACATCAAAACTAATTATAATTAATGTTTCTCCATGTCTATTTCTAAATATGATAAAAGATCTCCTTAAAAATTCCAACATTAGTTCATACACAAAAGCATCTACTTTTTCAGTAAGCAGATTTAAAATGATTAATTTGCACAAAAGCAAAATGAACAGATGCAAACATACACACTATAAGAACAAGAATCAAATTTCACTGCAAAATTACTTGTAAGTTGTCCACCACTGTAATGCAATTTCCACATCAACATCAGTATCCAGATATCCTTGGCTATCTTATTTTCGTAAAGATTTGCTTATCCTGAGACTAAGTGAAGGTAACAGATGCAAATCTCCTTCCTTACCCATTCCCCACCCCTCCAAGCCCCCCACCTCCTCTTCGACCAGGGCAGTGGCAGGTTCTCCTAAGCAAACGTTATTTTCCACTAAACTAGGATAATTGAGTCTCAACTTTAAGGTAGCCCTTTGGGAAAATCATCTTCTGATTCAGTGCACAACCTCAGCACTATCAAATCCCATTCCATAAAGTGACTAAAGGCATTTGCAGAAGCCTTCCTAGTTATGCTCTACTTTCTGTGATCATGCTCTACTTGCCTATCTGTTCCATCAACAGTAGAAGAAAGGTGAATAGCAGCAATTAAGGAATGGCAAGAATGGAATGAACAAAACTACAGTAACACAGTGCCAAGGTTCGTTTTAGAAAAATACCAAAGCAGTCACATCAAAGGTTCCTCATCACGGAAGGTATCTTGGCTTTATTTAAAAAGAACTTTCAAGGAAAATGGCCTGTTTTCTAGAAATCACACAAAGTACTGAAAATGTTAAACTCATTCCCATCCTTCCACATCCCATGAACTGCTAC